GCCCTTTGGCCTTCCCCTTAAAATCACCATATTTCTGATGGATACTCATTCCAGTCTCTGGGGGGTTTTTTTTTGGGAAGGGAGGGCTCTGGCACTGATTATCCCGGATTTCTCTCTCTGCTTCCCAGTGTCCTGCACCTTCAGCTGCACCATGAAGTTCACGGTGCGGGATTGTGACCCCAACACGGGGGTGCCGGAGGAGGATGGCTACGAGGATGAGTATGTGGTGAGTCCAGGCTCTGCTTCCTTTTCCCCTTGCCATTAGTTGGGAATACACGTGGGATGGTTTCCTTTCGGACCTTGGAGTCGCTGGGAGGGAAGGATGTTCCTGCCTGGAACGCCAAAATACCCCCAAACTTGTCGTTTTGGATCCTTCCCCCAAAAATTGACTTCTGCCCAAAGCTTTAGTGCCCTGTGGAGACAGGATTGGTGGGGACAGGCAGGGAAAAAAAGGAAGGAATGATTTCCACTGTTTGTTTTCACAATCAATCTTTCCACCCCAAGCTTTTGCGCTTCTGTTTATCATGGAAATAGAAGTCAGGTGTCAGGAAGTGCTGGGAGAAGAGAAGGCTCCAGGGAGACCTTGGAGCCCCTTGCAGGGCCTAAAGGGGCTCCAGGAGAGCTGGAGAGGGACTGGGGACAAGGCCTGGAGGGACAGGACACAGGGAATGGCTTCCCAGTGCCAGAGGGCAGGGATGGATGGGATATTGGGAAGGAATTGCTGGCTGGGAGGGTGGGGAGGGGCTGGAATGGATTTCCCAGAGAAGCTGTGGCTGCCCCTGGATCCCTGGAAGTGTCCGAGGCCTGGATGGAGCAACCTGGGATATTGGGAGGTGTCCCTGGATGGAACTGGATGATCCTTCAGTTCCCTTCCAACCCAGCCCAGTGTGATTCCATGGATCCTGAGGAAATCTCTCCCAGTGGATGCCCAGTGAAGGCTATAAAGGGCTTTAAGCCATCAAGTGAACCTGATTTTCTGTTCTCTTTTAGTCCCTTCTGTGTGGATATTTTTCATGTTTACAAATGACCAGAATAAACCCAGTTTTTCCCCATTTTTAGGAGCCATTGTCACGTGCTTCTCCCAAAATTAAAGCCAGGCACGGCAGAGCTGTCCTGGCAAAACGCTGCTGGATCTTTCCCTCCCCAGGGCGAGGCTCCTTTCCTGCCACTGACCCGAAAATCTCCCTCCCTTTTTCCCCTCAGCTGGAAGACTTGGAAGTGACCGTGTCCGACCACATCCAGAAGGTTTTAAAGCCCAACTTTGCAGCTGCCTGGGAAGAAGTGGGAGATGACTTTGAGAAGGAAGAGACCTTTGCCCTCAGTTCCATCAAAACCCTCGACGGTGAGACGGTCCCTCATTTATTGGGGGTAAAGCTGCCAGGCTGGGATATATATATATTTTTAGGGAATTACCTGGAGGTAATTTCCTTTTTTCATCCCTGAGTGCAGAAGCTGTCAACAACATCGTCAAGTTCCTGGGAATGCAGCCCTGTGAGAGGTCGGATAAAGTGCCGGAGAACAAGAATTCCCACACGCTCTACTTGGCTGGTGAGTGTTCCCTGCTGCTGGATCCCACGTTTCCACGTCCCCACAGATTTCTGCTAAAGGAAGGGAAATTATTTGGGAGGTTCTGCTCTTGTTTTGGGAGCTTTTGCTCTGTAGAAAAGAGGGGCTTTTTTCCCTGTGAAAGGCTGCAGTGAAGCAGTAAGTTGGATCCTGCTGTCTTGGATGTGCTCAGGCTGAGCCCTCTGTCTCTGGGAATGGAGGAATTCTGCCCGTGGAATCCTCTGGATTGAGAACTTTCAGAGCAGACACCTAAATAAATTCTCTGCCCGGGGTTATCTCAGAAGGGCAGTTCCAGGATCATCTCCTTCCCAAGGTCCTGTCACTAAAGATACATCCTGGACTGCCCTGCAGCACCCACAGCTGCTTCTGGAATCAGGGAATCACTGGGGTTGGAAAAGCCCTCTGAGATCGTGGAGTCCAACCAGCCCCAGCAGTGCCAAGGCCACCACTGACCATGTCCCCAAGTGCCACTTCCACAGGGATTTGAAATCCCTCCAGGGATGGGGACTCCACCCTGTTCCAAGGCCTCACCACCCTTTCCATGGAGAAATTCCTTCTCAGCCCCAACCTGACCCTCCCCTGGCCCAGCCTGAGGCCGTTTCCCCTTGGCCTGTCCCTTGTTCCCTGGGAGCAGAGCCCGACCCCCCCTGGTTCCCCCCTCCTGTCAGGGGGTTGCAGAGCCAGAAGGTCCCCCCTGAGCCCCCTTTTCTCCAGACTGAGCCCCCCCAGCTCCCTCAGGAGTTCTCCAACCCCTTCCCAGCTCCCTTCCCTTCCCTGCACATGCTCCAGCCCCTCCGTGTCCTTCCTGAACCGAGGGACCAGGTCCCAGCACTGGGGCACAATCCCTTCCCTAGCCTTGCTGGCCACACTATTCCTGACACAATCCAGGTGCCAGTGGCCTCCTGCCCTGCTGGGCACACCTGGGCCACTGTCACCAGCCTCCCCAGGGCCTTTCCCAGCTTCCCATCCCCTCTCCCCCCAACCCTGGAGCTCCGCGGGATCGGAGCGACCCATCGGGGCAGTGACTTGCTGTCAGCTGCTGGGTTAGGCCTGGCTCAGAGCCTCTCCTAAGCTGAGCCCTGCCTGTCTTTGCCCCCCCAGGTGTGTACAGGGGCGGCTGTGACGTGCTGGTGAGGGCCAGGCTGGCGCTGGGGGACGGGGTGACCATGCAGGTGACGGTGAGGAGCAAGGACGAGGCGGCCGTCGACGTCATCCTGGCGGCCGTGGGCTGAGGCCGAGCCGGGACCCGCCCTTGGAGAGGCCTGTCTTGTCCTTTTGCATGTGGTTTTTATTCCTCAAAATCTGGGAAAATATTTTCTACGAGGTCCCATTCTCGGTGGCTTGGCCGTTCCCACGTCCCCTTCCCTCCGTGTCCCTCGCACATTCCCACTTAATTTATGGGAAGAGAAAAGGGGGGCGTGTGCAGGTGGGTGAGGAAACGGGAGTCAGGCTTTTTTTTTTTTTTTTTTCTTTTTTTTTTTTTTTTTTGTCCAAAATCAGTTTTTATTACCAGAAAATAAACCCTGGTTGGAGCAGCGGGGTTCCTACGAATCGCTGTTAATAAAATAGAAATTTCTTGTTCTGGTTCTGCCTGGTTTTCAGCGCAGGAAAATTAAAAACCAGCCCATTTTGTTCAACAAAAAAAGCCCCTTATTCCCAAATTAAATTCCCAACATAGGCTGGTAAAAAACCACAGGGAAACCTGCAGGTTGACGGTGTCTTCGTGGTTCTTCCTGGTGGGAAAATCCACGTGCAAAAGAGATGGAACTTCATCTCCTGAGGCAGATTTATGTCAGGTAATTCCCAACACCGGTGCAGCCTGTACTGGGCTGGAATGGGAAACATCCCATAGCAAAAACTGGGAAGGGGAGGGGACACAGGGACCTCTCTGCTCCTGAGCTGGTGTTTCTTTACCAAGCCAGGGTGAGGAAGGAAGGAAGAAACACTGATTTAATGCTGAGTTCATCTCTAAATCCAGGGTTAGGCCGGTCCAGAAGGTGGGAGAGCTGTTGGCATCCCGGAACTCTTTGCTTTTCCCACACCTCCCTGATGTTTTCCCAATGTTCCAAAGGGTTTAACTGCCCGAGTGCAGCCCTGAGTTCAAAGTGTTGGCTCTGGGAGGTAAAGCCAAGGTTTTTTCCTGCCCCCCAAAGCCTGACTGGGAAGCAGAGGGCGAGAACTGGAGCGGCAGCAGCTCAGAAGGAGTTGATGAAGTTGAGGTACGAGTTCAGGAATCCTGTGGGATCCTCCAGCTGGGGATAGTGGCTGATGTGGTCGTCCAGCACGGACACTGTGGACATGGGAAGCAGCTTCCTGTGGGAAGAGTGGAGCAAGGTTAGTTAAGCTTAAGCACAGGGACAGCAGCAGGCTCGGCCCGGTGCCACCGGTGAGGAGGGCAGGACTGGGATTCCACCCAGAACGTGGATTTGGGATCAAAAAAAGCCACAGTTGGCCACTCTTCCGAGTGCTGGATTTCCTCCAGGTTAGTTTGGAGGAGAAAATTCCCTCGGGGATTAAATCTTCTCTCCTGTGGTTTTAAAACGTGTCGCTGGTTTGACTGAAAGTTGTGATTTATTTTTTTTTTGGTGCCTAAAATAGGGAAACAGTTCCCAAACTGCACAAGGCTCCGACTTGGAGTCGCTTGGGTCCAGGTGGGAATTAAGAACAGCCTCTGTGAGGACGGGATTGGAGGGAAAGGCAGCCAAAATATCCCTTGGAATGAGGCCCCAGGGGCACATTCCCACTCAGTGGTGGGTGGGATCTTACCTGTAAAGCTGGAGAAATTCCGGGTGTGGATTCACGGGGTCCAGGGGGCCGTAGATGAGATGCACTGGGAGAGAGAAGAACGAGGAATTGACGCCCAAGGACATCCCTAAATTTAGCCAAGGGCTGAATTCCCCCCTCACGTGGAGCTTGGGAAGCTTCCAGCGGAGCCCTGAGCAATCCAGGGGCTCCAACAGCCTCCGGTGTCATGGTTGGAACTTCCCTGGAGCAGCACCTGGAATGAGCCTCTCAGGGAATGTCGCTCTGCTCAGTGGGACAAACTTCCCTTGCCAAGGCGTGGCTGAGCCTTGAGCTGGAAGTTTGGGATGTTCCCCCTGGACTGGAGCTCCATCACCATGATGACGGGAAGCTCCGGCGAGGAGCGGAAGGGGACAGTTCCCACCGATCCCAAGCAGGAAAAGAAAGGGATTCCAGGGATTCCTACTCACGTGGCACAGAGGTCGACACCAGAGCCCCGACCCAGCGGTCACTGTGCTGCTTCCTCTCGTTGATGTACTGCAAAACACTGAGGAGAAATCCCTGGTTATGGGCATTCCAGGGGCGGCACAGCCTGGGATTTGCTCCCAGGGCCGTGGATGGTGAGGGGGGATCTGCATCTCCCATGGATCTCCCTGGGACAGCACCACCACAGCGTCATCCTGGAGTTCAGTGACTCGATTCTTCCAGGGGGAGGAAGGGAGAGAAGGACACGCTGAACAGGGACGCTGAGCTCACAGCCAAGAGATCCTCCTGAAAGCCCCAAACTGCAGCAAACAGGACCTTCCAAAATGGGCAAACATGAACTGCTCAAACTGGAGCAAACAGGTCTTTCCAAAACTGGAGCAAACAGGACCTTCCCAAACTGGAGTAAACAGTGCTTCCAAAACTCCCAAACTGGAGCAAACAGTGCTTCCAAAACTCCCAAACTGAAGCAAACAGGTCCTTCCCAAACTGGAGTAAACAGTGCTTCCAAAAGTCCCAAACTGGAGCAAACAGGACCTTCCTAAACTCCCAAACTGGAGCAAGCAGGACCTTCCAAAACTCCCAAACTCCTAAACTGGAGATTTGGCACTGGGACTTCTGGGAATGGCCCAGAAGATCAAGGACGTTCAAATCCAGAGGCAAAACTCTCCTGGGACAATCCCAAGGGATCTGTTCACCTGTCATAGATTTATCTCCAGTCCTTGAACCACCTCCCCAAATCCAAGCCCTTGACTTCCAAAGATGAAAAAATTCTCACATTGGATCATTCCAGGCTCAGATCCAATTCCAAACTTTATTTCCCTGCCCTGCATCATCCCAGTGAGAAATCCTGCTCCCACATCACACCCCAGCTCTTTTTTTTTGGGGATGAAGATGTTCCCAGGCTCCAACAGAAGCAGCTGGAGGCTCTGGAGAGCCTGGATGAGCTCTGGGATTCTCGTAGCGGGTGTCCCAACTAATCTCCTGCAGGAATTCCCAGTGACCTACCTGTCCATGACGAGATTCCCGTCGTTATTCCGCACCGCCGTCCACATATCCCAGAATTCCGCCTGCGAGGGTTGTGTGTGGGGCCCAAAAACTGCTCCAAGCCTGGGAAAAAAAGGGAATTTGGAGAGGGCTTTTTTTGGGAAAAATCCCTAAATCTGACTGTGAGCCAAAGGCAGGGCACGGGTGGGGTTTTGTTGCCTCTGGAATGTGGAATTCCAGTTCTTGTGGGAGAGAAGGAAAGCTGGGGAAAAGCCATGTGGTGGTTTATTATTAGCCCAGCCTGGAGAGGGAATGGCCTGGAAGGTCAAGGTTCAAATCCAGAGGAAAATCTCGCCTGGGCTGGTGCCAGGGAATGCCCTCACCTGCCCCAACACCTGCTAGTTCATGGAATCATGGAATGGTTTGGCTTGGAAAAGACCTTAAGGATCATCCAGTTCCACGGGCAGGGACACCTTCCACTATCCCAGGTTGCTCCAACCCGGCCTTGGACACTTCCAGGGATCCAGGGGCAGCCACAGCTTCTCTGGGAAATCCATCCCAGCCCCTCCCCACCCTCCCAGCCAGCAATCCCTTCGAATTCCCGCTTCCCTGCTCGGCTCCCATCCCTCTGGACTGTTCCCAGCTCACCCTCTGGAGAAGAAGAAGAAGTTCATCAGGCGCAGCAGGAGGGGGGACAGCAAACCCCCCTCCTGGAGGAGCTGAGGAGCAAGGAAAACAGGAGATGGGACACATGGATCAATCAGGTCTCTGGGGAGAGCTTTTCCCACAACTCCCCAACCCCAGAGACGCCCACAAGGTCTCCTGGTGGGACACCGGCGCTCCAAGGGGTGTTTATTTGGGATACTGGGAGTCAGGCCGGACAGAGAGGGGAGCAGCTCACCTTCTGGATGAACCTGGGGTGGTATGTTTCCAGAAAAATCCCTGGAAGGAGGCAGGAAAACAGAACTGTAAATCCATAAGTGCTTTGCTCCCCACTTCCCGGTCCCTCCCCGTCCTCGTGGGGCCATGGAATGTGGGACAGGGAGCCAGGATTGGACTCCTAATCACGGCACCTTAATTGCACTTCCCTTGGGATTCAGGCGAGGGAGATGGGAAGGCCACCCTATCCCATGGATCCCAATCCCATGGATCCCTATCCCACTTTTCCAGGCGATCCTCACCTCCGTTGGATAAGCAGAGGCTGTTGATCAGGATGCTCCCGGTTTTATTGTGCTCGTACCTGGGGACACCAGAGGAGAAGGTGGAACACATCCAGACCTCTCCAGGATCCAAGGAATGACCGCCCAGGAGGTCACGTGGACAGGGCCAGGTCATCCCTGGATCCCTGCTGGGGTTTGGATGGATGGGACCCTCGGGAATGACACACCCTGAGAGCTCTCAGCCTTGGGAAGGACGAGGAGAAGGGGGATCCCACTGATTGCTGGGAATCGTCTCCATGGGGACAACAAGGAGTGCCAGGGGTTGGAATCACCTCCATGGGGACAACAAGGGGTGCCAGGGGTTGGAATTGTCTCCATGGGGACTACAAGGAGTGCCAGGGGTTGGAATGATCTCCATGGGGACAACAAGGAATGACAGGGGTTGGAATGGTGTCCATGGGGACAACAAGGAGTGCCAGGGGTTGGAATTGTCTCCATGGGGACTACAAGGAACGACAGGGGTTGGAATCATCTCCATGGGGACAAGGAGTGCCATGGGTTGGAATTGTCTCCATGGGGACAACAAGGAGTGCCAGGGTTGGAATTGTCTCCATGGGGAAAACAAGGAATAACAGGGGTTGGAATGGTGTCCATGGGGACAACAAGGAATGACAGAGGTTGGAATTGGCTCCATGGGGACTACAAGGAGTGCCATGGGTTGGAATCACCTCCATGGGGACAACAAGGAACGACAGGGGTTGGAATGGCCTCCGTGGGGACTACAAGGAATGACAGGTGTTGGAATCATCTCCATGGGGACAACAAGGAGTGCCATGGGTGGAACCACCTCCATGGGTGGTTCCAACCCATGGAATGGGTTGGACAACAAGGAATGATAGGGGTTGAAATGGTGTCCATAGGGACAACAATGGGTGCCAGGGGTTGGAATGGTCTCCGTGGGGACTACAAGGGGTGCCAAGGGTTGGAATGGTCTCCATGGGGTGTCAAGGGTTGGAATGGTCTCCATGGGGTGTCAAGGGTTGGAATGGTGTCCATGGGGTGCCAGGGGTTGGAATGACCTGTGGAGCAGCTCCTGGGCCACCGTGTCCCCGTAGTCGTGGGCCAGGAGGTTGATCCGGTGGCGCTGGAGGCCGAGGTGCCGCGCGAGCCCTTCCACGACATTGGCCTGCTCGAAGATGGAATAGCGGTGGGGCCTCTGGAAGAGCGGGAGAGGGGCCCTGGTGAGAGCCTGAGCCCACAAATCCTGGGAGAAACCCCCAAATGGGATGGAGAGCAGGAGTTTGTGATCCAGGATTGAGCAACGGGATGTTCTGGATCACCGGTGGTGTCCACACTGTCCATGCTCCACAGGGATCAAGGAATGCTTTGGGATCATCAAACCCCAGAAATCCCAGGAAAAAGCTCCAAATAGGATGGAGACTAGGATTTGGTGACCCTGGATTGAGGAATGGGATGTCCTGGATCACCTGTGGTGTCCACATTGTTCATGCTCCAGAGGGATCAAGGAATGCTTTGGGATCACGTCAAACCCCACAAATTCCAGGAGAAAGCCCAAAATGGAGGAATATCAACTGATTCCAACAGTTTGTGACCCTGGATTGAGCAATGGGATGTCCTGGATCACCGGTGGTGTCCGCTCTGTCCATGCTCCAAAGGGATCAAGGAATGCTTTGGGATCACATCAAACCCCACAAATTCCAGTAGAAAGCCCCAAATGGAGAAATATCAACTGATCAAGGAATGCTTTGGGATCACATCAAACCCCACAAATCCGAGGATAAACCCCCAAATGGGATGGAAAGCAGGAGTTTGTGATCCTGGATTGAGCAATGGAATGTCCTGGATCACCGGTGGTGTCCACACTGTCCGTGCTCCAAAGGGATCCAGGAATTCTTTGGGATCATCAAACCCAAGTGAGGGCCCACCACAAACCTCCCCCATCCCTCCCACTGATCCCTGTTATCCTACGTCTTATCTCTTTTCCGGGTGTAAATGGAGGGAAAACTGGGCTCCAAAATGCCTGGATCTGGAGCTGGAAAGCATCCAGGAAAATCCTTCTCCCAGGGATACTCACGGGCTTGTCGCTGAAGCCAAATCCCAGGAAATCCAGAGCAATCACCCGGTGGAAGCGCTGGGTCAGCCCTTCCCAGATCTGGGAAGAGGGAGAAATCCATTAAAAAAGCATCCAGAAAGAGCATCCGGTGATTGCTCCACCCCGGGAGCATCTTCCAGCTCCAGGAAAACAGCAGGAGCTCCGAATTTCCCAATAAACAGCCAGACCATCCCAAAAAACCCCAAACCCTCTCCAGTAAATAGCTGTGGGTCTTTCCCAGCTTTGGGATGGAGCGTGGGAATGTGAGGAGAGCTTGGATCCCGTGCGGGGTTGTTGGGAGAGGAAGAACAGGGCGGGTATCCCGGAGTGGGGCCTCCGGAAGGAATCGGGAATTCTCCTCTGGAGCGGGGCTGACTCATCCCCCCGGGATGTGCCCCCGGCTGCCCTCACCTTGCTCCAGTCGTAGCTGGAAGTCGGGAATCCGTGCAGCAGGATCACGACGTCGGAGCTTCCGACGGCGCCGCCCGAGTCTGCGGAGGGAATCAGCTTTTCCCACAGAATTCCCATGGAATTCCTCCCTTCCAGGATGGGCTTTGGGTCCCGCCCAACGGCACGGAGGCGCCTCTCCCCGCACCCCCCAAAACCAGGGATGGGGTTGATTCCTTCCCACCACAGCTTCCCAGTGGGAAACCCGGAGCGGGGGCGTGGTGGAATCCAGGGATTTATTGATCCCAAATTATTTGGAGCTGCCTCGGTGAGCAACTGCTGCTCTGGGAAAAAAGGGTTCCTGGGATCTCCTCCATGCTGGGATCCATCAGAGGCTCTTGGGATCCTTCCCAACACCCCCGAGGGACAGGAACAGACATTCCCCAAGGTTTGGGGTTGTCCTGCTTTTGGGGTCTGAGGGAGGACGTGGGTCCAGTTTGGGGTCTGAGGGGGACGTGGGTCCCATTTGGGGTCTGAGTTGGGATGTGGGTCCCATTTAGGGTCTGATGGGGAACGTGGATCCCATTTGGGGTCTGACAGGGATGTGGATCCCATTTGGGGTCTGAGGGGAGACATGGTTCTCATTTGGGGTCTGAGGGGGATGTGGGTCCCATTTGGGGACTGAGGGGGGACACAGATCCGATCTGGGGTCTGAGGAGAGATGTGGGTCCCATTTGGGGTCTGAGAGGGAACAAGGATCCCATTCGGGGTCTGATGGGGATGTGGATCCCATTTGGGGTCTGAGGGGGATGTGGGTCCCATTTGGGGTCCGAGGAGAGATGTGGATCCCATTTGGGGTCTGAGGGGGATGTGGATCCCATTTGGGGTCTGAGGAGAGATGTGGATCCCATTTGGGGTCTGAGGGGGAACATGGATCCCATTTGGGGTCTGAGGGGGATGTGGATCCCATTTGGGGTCTGAGGGGGGACGTGGATCCCATTTGGGGTCTGAGGGGGATGTGGATCCCATTTGGGGTCTGAGGGGGATGTGGATCTCATTTGGGGTCTGAGGGAGGACATGGATCCCATTTGGGGTCTGATGGGGATGTGGATCCCATTTGGGGTCTGATGGGGATGTGGATCCCATTTGGGGTCTGATGGGGGATGTGAATCCCATTTGGGGCACTCAGTGCTTTGCTCCAGCCCCACTGTCTCCAGGTAGTGGCTCCTCTTGGATCCATTCCATTTTGGGATGGATTTTCCCTCAGGAACACCCCCAGGGCCCCTATTCCCGCTCTCCAGCGGGATGATCCCGACGATCCCACAATCCCATCACCTCTGTAGAAGATGTTCCAGCCCTTGTAGGTGAAGAAGGTTCCGGAGGCTCTCCAGGAGCGCAGAGGGGGGGAGGGCTGGGGCGGGGGGAGGTGCAGGTACACGGCCAGGAGGGGCACCCCCAGCAGCCCCACCTGCACCCACCACTCCTTCATCCTGCGGGAACAGCCACGTACCAGGAATGCCCCGGGATCCCACCAGGCCTCCCTGGGGCCCCAAAATCCAGCTCGGTGTCCCCAAAACTCCCATGGCCCCATAAGCCATCTCCGTGTCCCTAAAACCCACCTCCATGTCCCCAAAACTCCCATGGGCCCCCAAAATCTCCCCACATTCCCATAATCCATCTCCACATCCCCATAACCCATCTCCACGGCCCCAAAACTCCCACGGCCCCAAAAAAGACCCCACATAGCCATAATCCATCTCCCCATCCCCATAATCCATTTCTGTGTCCCCATAACCCACCTCCATGTCCCCAAAA